CTTTCCCTCCCACCCCTCCCCCTTTCCTTCTCCCTCTCCCTCTTCCCAACTCCATCTGTCTATCCCAGACTTGCATCTTTTCTTCACCATGGGAAGTAGTAGATTAATATATGCTTCATAGTCATGACATCATGACATCAGGAGTTATGTGACAAGATAACTCAATCTGATAAAATTGAGTTGTTGGAGAGGCTAGAGGAAAGTGCAGAGGCCACAGGAGATTTAGATATTGCTCTAAAGTATGTGTGTATGTGTATTGTGTTGTTGTATGTGCTGGTAATGACACTGATAGTCTTAGATATGTACAGAGAAAGGTACATGTGTGTTATTAAGAGAGCTCAAAAAAGTATTATAGTTCATTAGAACATTCGGCTTTGACAGATAAAAAAAGATTGATAAAAATAGTTTCAGAAGTGAATATGAAAATTACCATACAGCTCTAAAATGACCTAAAGGGTGAAGGGTTAGAAAAGAAAATTCAGCTCACAAAGAGGAATCATGGAGAAACAGAAATCAATTACAATAAAACTGAACATTAACCAACTGAACTACACTGAAGAGGGTTTAAAATATTTAGCCAAATGCTTGTGTAGCCATCTTCCTAAATATTCTTGTGTCCCAACAAATTTCCTTTATGGAAAGGGGCCTTGTGCCATAGAGGAACATCACAAAATGTTATGGCAAAGACTGGAGATCCAGTAGCCTGCCTGCCATTTACTAGAAGAATTTGAGAACTTAAGTAATTAAACTTTTGCACTTCAGTTTCCCTCATTTGCAAAATGGGGATTAAAAAATACTATCCTCCCTACAGAAGATTTTTAGGCAGTGTAAATTCACTACCTGGGAAAATCTTTCTAGAGACTGAAATGTTACTGCACATGCATTTAAAAATCATTGTTTTATGGCTATTCAACAATCATTTTGATATTTTAAACATGTCCATATACCAAGTGATTTGTGGACATGTAATTAATACCTTCTCTTAACGTTAGAGAAATTATGATCTCAGATGAGGGTCCACAATCATTGTGGTTGGGTAAAAGGTATCTTGGCATCCTTTGATTTTGTAGAAGCAAAATATTCTGTCATAATTAAAGCAACTCAACTAACCACAGGCAGCATCAGTCAGATTACTTTTCAAGCACTAATTGAATTGATCTTGCAAACATGGAATATTCAGTTCTAAATTAGCAGGTAGAACAGAGTATGGATCCTAAGTCTCAATAATATGTAGAGGAATAAGAAACTCAAGTACATAAAAAATAGAAAAGAGCTTAACCACTGCCTATAAATGACTTCTAATCCAACTCCATTAGTGAGATAAGAGTTAGCCCTGTCCTCCCAGCAGCACATCTTATTTTCAGTGACTACAGGGGCTTCAGTAATTGCTCATTTAAATAAGCCCTCATAGATCAACAAAATACAGAAAATCTTAGAAGAAAAGACTTCCTTCTTGCCAGAGTTATTCTTCAAAGAGCCAAAGAAAAAAGAACCATGTGAACAAATATACTATAATAATGTCTCATTATAATTGAATCCCCTGAACAAATGTACTATAGGAATGCATTTTATAATGGAACTCCTTATTAGACTGATTTATATGCTCTAGAACCCAATCAAGTTGCTTGAACACTACTCAAAGTGCTGTGGGTTACATACTACCACCAGTGAGATCACACCTGCCTCCCACATTCCTATAATAAAGGCAGGAATCAAGGATAAAATAGAACTTTTTCTTCTTTCATGAAATTTCTGCCCATCATCACTAGTACACAGCATTTGCTAAAGCTTAATTTACAAGATCAATAATCCAAAGGATCTAATGAATAAGTGTCAAATCTGTTTTCAAAGATAGCAACAAGCAGAGCTTGAAGGAATCTTAAAATAACCTCATGTGCTGCAGCATCAGCAGGTACCACCCTACCATCACTTCTGTGCTCTGTCAGTTGAAACCATGAAGCCAGGGGATAACTGCATATGTACCACTGTTGAAATGTATTTGCTAAGGTCAAAGTACCTCTCAAATGCTAAAAAGTGGTAAGGTAGAACTTTTCCATTCTGCTCTACTGGCAATCATGGAAAACTCCATTTGAGCATAATCATTTCTCTATCCTTTGCTTCCTGATATAGGAACTTACACATTAAACTCTATGAGTGTGAGGCTTCCTTTTTCTTCTCTGGTTCACCAATTCAAATTCCATGGCATAAATAAAGAAAGTAGATTATTGAGACCTAAATGAATTAAATTTATTTACATTTCTGAAGTAGTCTCAGTGATTAAAATGTGAATAAAGCAATAGGTTTTACATTAATTACTTTGCCAGTTAGGCTACTTAACAATAAGAAGTAGATTTGTTTATTTTCATTCTAAATTTGGGGATTCACAATAGACTTGTAGTTTAAATGGGTGGTTTGGCATAGATGTATCTTTCATTGTTCTTCAGTTTTAATTATTGAAAACAATTTATTTGGAATATGACTTTGGCTATATCCAAAATTATGAAAACTTTAGTTTTTCTAACTGAAAAATTTTCAATTCTCAGCATTTACTTTTTCTTATGTTTCTAAATTAGATGTGATAATATTCATTTATATATAGAAATAATTATTATTATCAATTTTCTCCTAGCCCTGATACAAAATAGTGAATTAAAATAAAATTTATTTTCATTTAGAAAATAATTTATGATCTAAGCATGGATGTGATAACTGAAGTTACTTTAAATGTTAATTTTATTTTTCAAAATTATTTGCAAAGTTTTAAAGCAAAGGTGCAGACTATTAAAAGGTATGATGTGTTTTCCATTGAATGTTTTCATCCTACTATCATTATATATGAACATGGTATTGATAAATTTAACAATTTCTAAGAAAATTTAAAGATGAAATTTTATGGTATTAAACTTTTCCATTTTAAAATTTTGCCTTTGCAAATGTTTGACACTGTGTTTTAAAACTCGTATAATTAATTCTTGCAACTCAATTATGATCCTAGAGAAAAATAACACTTTGCATGGATGAATAACTAAATAGATCACTGTACGATCAGTTACTTTCTTAGCTGTAGTAATGGTTACTGTAATAAGTAAGTCATTAAATTAGTCAAAATAATGGGATTGATTAATATGCATTTGACTCTCAATAAGTGAATTATTATACTACTATTCTGCTTCCTTTAGACAAGTTGACTATGAATATAACTGTGAAAATGAAACTCATAGCCATGTATTACATTCTCTTTGTTCTTCCTGTGATCCTCACTACAAAAATATTTAATGCTGAAAGACTAATAGTAGATATGTTAACCAATATGTATTACAGTATGTAACATGCATACTAAATGATCTTTTTAAATGTGTATTAGATCTCTATATATGTGTATTAGTATTAAAAATTGTTTATATTTAATATACTTAATATATTTATTTAAATTTAATATACTTAAATATTTGTTCATGTTTCTTTCCTCTTTATATGTGTGTCAAAATTTCTAGTTAAAATTATAAAATGAGGGTTATATAGCCAGTATTTAGCCCTAAATATTCAGCACCCTAAATTGTTGAAATTTGTAATTGTCTCATTTTAAGGATTAGCTCTGATTATCTTTAGTCCTTTAGTATAATTGGTAGTCATTTCCTAACCTCTAAAAAAGTTGATTTACATACTAAGAACCTTAATAAAGAAGATAACTCAAAATTCCATAAATAGGCGTAGTTAAGAAAAATTACTTGCTTGAGGAAATTCTTTCATGTTGTTTATGCCACAAAGGCTCTAGAGCAACATAAACACATTCTGGTAATTAACACTGCAGTGAAAAAAATATAATTACACAATATTCCTGTTAATGATATTATATAATTATCAACTGAAGGTTTTTGAGCAGATAGCATTAAAAGGTCTCTAAGTATGGCTGGAATTGGCATCATAAAGCTCCTTACATTAAATGACCAACATTGTTTAATGAGAGTTCTTGGAACATTTTTAAACCACTAAATGCCAAGAAATAAAATGTAGTACTCATATTGCAAACTTAAATTTCTTATGGCATTTTTTTTTTACTCTTAAATTTGAGCTGGCTAAAATATCACAAGTTCCAAAGAGAGTTTTCAGTATCTAGTTTTTATTTATATTGCACTAATAAAATCATTATGAGATTATGAATCAAAACAGTAGGTACCATAAGTACATAGGATTTAAGGAGGAGCTTGACTGTACTTGTTCTGATATATCACTGTGCCATACACTAAGAAAGACATATCACCATCTTCCCTAGGCCTGATTAATGTGTTTCCTTGCAACTTTATCAGGAAACATGGACTTATCGGAGTCCTTTTACCAGCATTGTGGGACCGTATTTTATCAGAGAAACATTTATAATATAGACAGCAGAAATTTTTGTGTCCATTTTCTGGCACTATGGAGAAGTTTAGATCAGTTTTTAACTTAAGTGCTCATGCCAGAATAATTCACAACCATTCTGATTATTACCCATTGTCCTACCAATTAGTTAAACCCAGTAGTCATGAACCTTCAACCTAAATACATAGATTAGACCCCTTAATACATTCATGGAAAATCCCCTTATAAGTTTGCCCAGAATAAAGGTACATCATTGTCCAAGTTTTTGCCAATTTTGATGGCTTGAGGAAGGAATGGTTTGAATCAGCCTCTTGAATTATTTAATTTCTCCTTTGCTTTTGTCTGTGTTGCTTTTGTCAGAGCTTGATTATGTAAATATGCCATTCTTTAGACTGGATCATCCTGGATAGTCCTGTTTTGATCATCCATACCTTGACTTTCCCTTTGTTGAAACAACCTTGTAACATCTTATGTATCATAGTCAAAGAACAAATACTGCAGAGAAGGGATTACATTAGCAGTTAGTTTAAAAGTTATAAGATATTGAATACAATGGGTAAGTGGCATTGGTTTCCCCACACTTAATGTCTACAAGATATAATATTAACATTTTTGGAAATATTTGATTGCAAATCAGACTGTGAGACATTGAGCTGCACAGTGACTGTTAGCATTTGTGCACAAATACCATTTTTCTCAAATACCATTTTCAAATCACTGTTACTTTTAATTGAAGATTAAATTAGCTCTTCTCTAACCATTACATTTTTAATGTAGTTTTCTTTAAATGTCATCATTTTAAAACTGCCTTAATCTTTGATCTTCAAAAATAACCATTTCTGTTGGTATATCTGAGTTGGGTTTTTTATTTGTTTTTTTGTTTGTTTTGTTTTGTTTTGTTTTTAATGTTGTAAGAGTTCTTCACTGCAAAAACCTTAGGAGAAAACATTGTGTTCATTTGCAGAGTTCAGATGCATTGGACATACAAGTCTTATCCAAGGCAAATGAACTCTTCTGTTCTTTCATTTTTTTATTTTATTTTATTTTTTGCTTTGCATCTTTTATTCTGGTCCTAAACTCCAAAAGACTTTTTAGTTTTTTTATTCATCAGTTAATGTTTTATTTAAAGATAAAGTGACTATGGTAAAATGTTAGCAAACTGAGAAATAGAGATTGTCACAGTGATGACAACCTGTAATGCTTTTACTGCTCACTTTGTTAATAGTTAAATGTTGTTATATAAAGGATAACACATAGATAAGCACCCAAAGAGTTCAAATCACTTCTAAATTTTATAAAACTTAAATCATCTGTAGGTACACCAGAAAATATCTTAGAAGTACACGCACATTGGTCTACCATTGTTTTCTTATTCATTATATATTCTTTTATTCAACCATTATTGCCAGCTACTTTGTCCAATGGCAACTGCTTAGTGTGAGAAATTAAAATCCATATGGTCTCTGCCTTTTAAATCGACTTGAAAAAAATCACAAAACTGTGTTAATGGTTTAGAAAAAAAACAAAATGGTGCTGTGATTGAAAATAGACAATCTATCATATCTAGGATTGTCGAGAAAGCCTGTTCATGGAGCTGGGATTTTTAAAGATCTAAGAGAGAAAGGAACAAACAAGGACAAGAGTGTTTGGAGCAGATGGCACATTATAGACAAAAATTCAGAAGAAGGGAGGAGTTTGGCATGTTAAAGGAACTGAAAGGATCCCTTGGCTGGAGCTCAGCAGATGAAGGGGAAAGGTGCAAATGAGATGAGCTGAAAAGGCAGATATAGGGAGAAAGGAGCTGAGTCAGCCCTATGCATGGAATGGAAAAGACATGCATTCTTTTTCAAGTATAATGAAAAGTTCTCACTTGGTTAAATTAATGAGGGGCCAAAATGCATTTGGGATGCCTTGTGTTACATTTCAGTTTTTGTCTAAAAGACCTAAAAAAGGTGAGTTTATAAATTAAATTATATTGATGCAAAACAATGCTTTGTATATTGCATTGATTTATCTGGATAGAGTAACATTGTGACCTGCAGGTCAGCCTTCATTCACCACTTAATAATGCCTAAACATGGCAATAAGAGTGTCATTTATGTCATTTGAGTGTGAACCTTGGACTTTTTAAATAATATGGAGCCCTCTAGTGGCCATTGGTTTAAAATAGTCTTACATTGCTGTCAAAACTGTTTAAACTGTGAAATTAAGCCTATTAGAGTTTAAAAATAACTGTAAATTTAGTCAAATGTGAGACTGTATTATGTATATGTCACTCTGATATAATGACAGCATTTCAACATTCTTTCATTTGCACTGACATGATTCTGTTGACTTAGGTGTACATTCCAAGCCGAGTGGCCCTCATCCTTCAGAATGTAGATCTGCCTAACTGAAGAGGCCTGATTTCAGCTCCACCACATGCATATGTGAGCTTTGTTTGCTTCTTCTGTCACAGAATTTATAATTTATAAGTTTTTCAAAATACAGTTTGTTTAGCCAAATCAGATTGAAATTATTGCATATACCAATATGTATATACAACTTGAAAACAATAGGTGAGGGAGTGTATTTCAAATTTTAAGGATACAAATTTCCAAGCCATTTGAGCAGCTAGAAATCATGTATTAAAAATGTTATACTTTGCATCCATTTATGTGATCCTTTCTGATTTCAAATTTGAACTATTCATTATGTATAGTTATTTCGATTGAATGTATACAGATGGATATTTGGTGGCCTTATTTGTTCTAATATCTATTGGCCTAAGTTTGTTTCTCTGCTTTTACAAATTGCATTAATAAATATTGTAATAATATGGAGTGATAATATAAAATTAAGAATTATATCAAAGATAATGTAAGAACCTTACCTATCAACTTACTCATGGCTTGTATTGCATTAAATTTTATCTTGTGATCTCCTGTTCACATAGTATTTTGGTAGATGCTGATAGTCTTTCTGAATACCTAAAATGACAATTGTATTATTTCAGCAAACGTCTTTTCCTTTTGATCAATAAAAATAAATTTGCAAGATTGCCTTCACTAGTGTTCGTTTTACTGTATTATTATAACGAATGATTTGGAATGAATATTAACATTCTTTATTTCAACTCTGATTTCTTCCTCACTGATTCATTCACATGTGCATCTTGGAATGGGAAGCAAACAATTTTTCTTTCTTTAGAAAATATTTTTTGTAACTTAAAATTTAACTAGTCCCGATATCTAAGCTACTTTTCAGCTATAAATGTGAGCACTTTTAGAAACTAAATTAACTTCTCAAGTCAGTGGAATACTCCTTTATGAAACTGCTCCTCTCTTAAATAGTAGTTCAGTGGTCTCAAATCATTGGTAGGAAATTCATTCATAACTGAGAAATTTAAATGCTCTTATGAGAGGTGATGTATCTAGCATTTTTTAAAAGATCAATTTTTCCATTTCCATTAATACTGATTGCTTACTTTTGTTGCTGTTTTTCAGCATAATTATTCATGTTTAATAATGATAATTAGGAGTATTTCATTAAAAACTCCCTCAGTAATGGGCAAGATAAGCAACAGACCTACTTTTGCAGCTAAATATATATCATCCACGTAGCTACTGGTCAAATAGTAGCATTTATAAGACCAATGAAAATGCACTCACTTCTACTTTCATTTTCTTGCATTTATGGATAAGAAACAACAATCATTAGTGCTTTACAATGAAGTACTGGGAGTGAAAGGCTATAACTATATATATATATCATCAAGTTTATATATATATAAACTTTTTGAGTAAAGCTTGGAATACATAGGTCTGAAATTTTTAATTTAATTTCCAAGTAAAATAGTAATGTGATTTCCTGAAAGAGTCATCTGTGGTGCTTTTCCCATTGTGGGGACTTATTTACATCCTAGTACTATGTGATCTGTATACTATACCTGCTATTGATAACAACATGGTATGCAACCATGACGTTTTGTGCTCTAGTTTATAATGTATTACAGTTGTATTTCTTATGTATGAAGAGATGCTATTTCCCTATCAGGGATTTTTTTTAATGACAATAAATACTTAGCATCTATTACCTATTATCTTCCTTGTGATCTCTGTGGCAAAGTTAAAGATCATAGTAACTATACCTATATTTTCATTATATTGATTGACTTTACTAATAGTTTATTTAGATTTCATTTGAAAGTTAAATTTTTGCCATATGAGTTAGTTTCATTTGTCAGATGTCTCCCCAACCCCCACAACAAAGAACAGCAATGAATATATGTTGCTAAGTAGGAGCTGTAAAAATACAGGCAAATAAATAAATCATTTAAGAATCCAAAATAGAAAATAGGGGTTTTTTATCATAGTATAGATAACTTTTATAGGACTTTCTAATATTCTAGTATATTTCTCTGTAGAGCTCTTTGTTTTTATATCAGTGATTTTCCCACCATTGTGACATTTTGTGGCAGGTTTTTCTTTTTACTGGCCAAATGTTTTCAATAATCTCAACTGAGAGATGCAAAATTTACTCTTTTGCCTTATACTAATGTTTTTTACTCTGATGTATTTATTACTCAGAAATGAGAATGACCTATCTTTGTTGTATTTTACAGAATTAATATTTTTCTATTTTTTTTTTTTTTTTTACATCCTGGAAAACATAGATGACTACAGATTTCTTTGCATTATTTTCTGATTCCAGCAAATGAGGGCTAGTAATTGCTCTGGTGTCCACAATAAGATATACTCCTAATGTTTGCAATGGTTAATGTTTTAGTTTTGATATTATCCTACTCAGAAAATGCCATATGTTGTAATAGCAAAAAAAAATGAATTGTAAACATTTTTTCCTATAATGTTTCCCACTTTATACCACTTGAACTCTGAGGGTCAACACCTCTTGTATTTTCTTTTCTGTAAATTTGATGTTTCTCACTTTGCCCTGTTCTTAGCTGATGCATTCATCTCTAACATAAAATGAGGGATTTAGCCACCATGTTTCTCAAGTTCAAAAAGTAACCAGTGACAATAAATTGACTTTTCTCGTGGCAACTGTAGAAGAATGCTAGTATTTTTTTTCCCTTTTGACTCAAGCACTCCCCTTAGCAATATCAATTCAACATTTGTAACCTACCAGGGTTATAGCCATTGCTATGTGGGATTATGCAGGAGGTTGTCTGAATAAGAAAACTATTCTTCAAATAATACACAAGAGAGTGCAGAAAGATCCAGGGGGAAGTGATGGAGGGTAATGTGTTTTCCTTTCGAGTTCAGCTTGAAGCTTCAGGACAAATATCTGTTCACCCTCTCTGGTCCTGCAGCCATTGAACCTGCCAATGAAAGCAACATGAAATAGCATTGCTACTGCTCTTCCTAGTAGGAGCTGGAGCAGACATACCTGATAGAAATCAAAATGGTGAGGCAGCTTTCTGCCTGGCCTTGTGCCTCTCAGACTATTTCTTTTTGTCTATTTTGAGTCATGCCCTGAACCTGGGTGCAGAATGCTGGGCTTCATTTATCTATTCCTTATAAGGGGACGAGCACTGAGCTATGAACTTTGCTAGGTAAGATATTCTGATGAAAGGAAATAGAAATCTGAGGCAGAGCAATGTCATGTCCTTTATTCAGTAGAGTTCATTTATCATTCACAATGTGTTAGAATTGAAATGTAGATAAATTCTCTCACTAAAGCCAGCCTTTAGGGGGAAAAACTCAAATGAACTCCCTACTAATTTTTCTGCCCTATTATCTTATTAATGATGATTTGTAGAGAATTGCTGGGAAAATTTATACTTTAGGGCAAAATTTCTTAATTGGTAGTGTGAGGAATTAAGATACAGTAGCTTTAAGTGTTTTTGGTATCTATAATTTAAAATTTTACATCTGGATTTTAACTCTGGGCAAAAACTGTGCAGAGGAAGCTGTATTTATGTATACAGAAAAATGTATTTGGTGATAGATATGCCAAAGGGCATGTCATTCAGAAGTTTACTTATAACTTATTTTTCTTGTCATTTCTGTTGGACCAGAGAGAGATGTTTGGCCCTCATATGTGCTATATAAACAATTTCACCTAGAAAATCATGCTGTATTTTAAAAGAACAGTGTGATATGGTCAAAGACCTGCATTCAAGTTATAGCTTTTCATTCCCAGTGCTTCATTGTAAAGCACTAATGACTGTTGTTTCTTATCCATAATTGCAAGGAAGTTAAAGTAAAAGTGAGTGCATTGTCATTGGTCTTATAAATGCTACTCTTTGACCAGTAGCTACGTGGATGATGAGTTGGTGATTGGAGACTTCTTCCAAATTCGTTGTCAGGGATATATTGCCACCCTCACCTATTTGTCATTCAGGGAAGATTCTGTACTACCATATCTGCACTCTCAGGCTATGAGGTGTAGGCTGGGCTGCCTTTTACAGAAGTTTTACGTTTCTTCAAAAGTTGAAGATGAGGCAAGATGCCAGTCCTCCATTGCTGGATTTGCTTATGTTAGCTTTTCCTCTCAGTGTACTACTTTCAGACTTTGTGTTTATATAACACCACCTTGTGAATGAGGTTAGCAGTCTCTTTGTGGTAACCTCTTATGGTAACCTGAACACTAAGTGAAATACCCATAGATGCTCTCCAGTGAGACACAGCAACCATGTGTGCACAGTTTCTTTTCCTTTCTCTCTCTGCCTTTTCCTTAAAGCTTAGTATAAGACTACTGTCAAAATGAATAAATGATAGAGAATTCTTAGGAATTGTAGAGAGTTCCTACTTACAGATAGATAGAGATGATATTTTGGATTCAAAGTCTGTACTCTCGTCAGAAACACATCTTTCTTAAATAAATGTTTTCACAGATCAATATTAATTTCTTAAAGATGGGGAGATTGTTCTAAAATGTTGACAATGTCTAGTATTTACAGTATGTCAATGGAAAGCAAAAAAGAACAAAAAAAGCTTTGACACCAAATTGCCACAAAAAGGTATGAATTAAATGAGGTAAGTGTTCAGATTGTGCAAACTTACTAAAGCAAAACAGATAATAGCTGTAAATGTCTGAACTAACTCATCTAACATGTATTTATTGCCAGTGTGTGAATATGTGAATACACACAGACATATAATTTGCAAACGAGCTGAACACACACAAAAATTCACTGATTCCAGTTTGTCTTAAACTAATGAACCACTTAATCTCTATGTGCGATACTTGTACTCAATTGTAAATATTTTTCTCATTGAATTACAAGCATCAAATCTGAATAAGTGATTTTACTTGGATTTAAAAGGGGTTTCCAAATCTCTGCAGTAAACTTCAGTATGCATGTCAAAGCCTTTGGAGAATTTTTCACCTCAAACTCTTCGACTGTGTGTCTTGTTTTTCCTCCAGAAAGAGGGGGGAAAAATGAAATAACTTCATCACTTCATGTCCTCTAGGGATTCTCTTTAACCGAGCTTGTAGACCCCCTTTAATTTTGCTCCAATAATATAAATGATGGAAATCACTGCATGTAATTTTGTTACACAGATGTCCCTAGCCACATTGTTAACTATTGGTTAAAGCTAATTGTATGAGATATGGATCCCCCTTTCATTTGATATTGGAGATTGAACACAAGGGTGCTCAACAATTGAGCCACATCCCCAGCCCCTTGTATATTTTATTTTGAGACAGGGTCCTGCTAAGTTGCTGAGGCTTGCTTTGAATCTGAGACCCTCATGTCTTATCCTCCCAAGCCCCTGGGATTACAGGCATACACCACCACGCCAGGTCCCTTCTATTCTTTATTAAAGTAAGTGGGTATCACTCCATGGAACTTTTCTATTTAGAAAAAGCAGTTGAATATCTAAGTTTTTCTAAACAGATGCATATTTTTAAAGACACAATATATCAGCTACTTTATTTTAAATGTTTTCTTGTTACTGTACCCAGTACTGGACACTTTATTTGCATTTTCAGTCTGAATACTCTGTTAACTCTGTAAAATGATTTTTATACCCTCTTTTGAGTCTAGGTTTGTGTTCATTCTGTTTTCTGCTACCTTTCATGTCATTCCCATTACCAA